AGAAAGAAAGAAAGAAAGAAAGAAAGAAAGAAAGAAAGAAAGAAAGAAAGAAATGCAGGCTGCATATTCTGTCTCAAAACTCTTCTTGGGTCCTGGGGAGATGACTTAGTTGGTAAAGTACTTGCTGCCTGAGGACCTGACTTCAGAGCCCCGGCACTAGCTGAAGGCCTGGCATGGTGGCACATGTCTTGACCCCAGTGCTGGGAAGATGGAGACAGGTCCCTGGAGCTCACTGGCTAGTCCATTCAACCAAGTCTATGAGCTCCAGGTTCAGTGAGAGAGTCAGTCAAAAAATAAGGTACAGAGCAACAGAAGGCACCCAAAATTACCTGTGACCTCCACACACATGTACACACACCCACATGCACATACAAATGTCTACCACATACAAGCTTTTTCCTGTGGGTCCCCGTCACTTTTTTTTGCCTCTGTGTAGAGTCCCCATGCAGAGGCCTCTGAGGTGTTTTCCTCCCTAGTGCTACACAGGTCAGCTTTGTCATCCTTAGAGCAGCGATGGCACAGCATAGTATTCCAGGCCTGCCTCCTGCAACCCTTGACTCACCACTAAGTCTTCTACTGTGGGGGGTTTGGTGGGGGGTGTCAGACTCTGAGGCTGGTGGCTGGCTCTTCTGTCTCTTCTTCCTGGAGGATGTTCATAGCTGGCTTTCCAGTCCTTTACTGGCCTGGGTCCCTATCCTGGCCAAAGCCTCTGAATTTGTCCAGGTGCATCCAGTGATACATTCATCTGTTCATGTTAGGGAAGACACCCACCACTGAACCATGTCCCCAGCCCTGGATATTTGAATTGAATTTTCTTTCTTTTTTTTTAGAAGGTAACTTTATGTTTTACTACATTTATGTTATGTATGTGTGCACACAGGTACACATATATGTGCATGCAACTGAAGTCAAAGAACAACTTGTTGATTCTCTCCTTCTACCATGTGGGTCCAGGGGATTGAACTCAGGTCATCAGGCTTGGTGGCAAGCACCTTTACATGCTGATCCATCTTGCTAGCTCTAGCGTGTGTGTGTGTGTGTGTGTGTGTGTGTGTGTGTGTGTGTGTGTGTGTGTGTATTTAACATTGGGGGGTTGCAAGTAGGCCAAAAAACAATCTGCAGGAGTTTGTTCTACCAATTCTGTGGGATTGAACCCAGGTCTTCGGCCTTGGCCATCACCACTCCCATGTACTGAGTCATCTCTCTCTCCAACCCAAATTTTCATGTTCTTAATCACTGAATCACTGATACATTTTGAAGGAGCTGAAAGATCAAAACTGAGAGGCGACTTTGCCTGTGTCTTCTTTACAGAGCCCTACACTCCCACATCTACCTCTGCTTATCTCTGGTTGCTTTCTTTTTTAAAAAAAAATTATTTATTATTTTTAGTTTTTAATATTTTTAATATTTTAGTGTATTGCCTGCATGTATGTAAGTACAGCCTTGTACAGTGCCTGCAGAGGTCAGAAGAGGGTATCAGATCCTTTGGAACTGGAGTTAAGGGCAGTTGTTAACCACCATTTGGGTACTAGGAACTGAACCTGGGTCCTCTGCAAGAGAAGCCAGTGCCCTTAACTGCTGAGCCATCTCTCCAGCCCTTGGTTGCTTTCTTTGTGAGAACTAGTCTTCATTTCTCTTACCCGTTCCTTAGGGTCCCAGCAATACTGAGTTAACAGACGTCCAGAGATGGGCCTGGATGCTCTCACTGCCTTTCAACAAATTTCACTGGGTGGATCTGCAGCCTATGTCACTGCAGATCACCCAGGACACAGTCCAGGAGGCCCAGAGGAGCAATTCCCTGTCAGGGAGACGTATCTGGACACAGACTGAGACTACCTGCCATGGTCCTCTCCAGTCAGAGGCCGCCCTTCCCTGGCTCTACCTTCTCCCACCTCATTTACCTCTCAAGCATGGGCATCCTTCTGCTGTGCCCCAAAGTACTTTGCCTTTGGCTTCTGAATTTTTCTTACCTAGAACCCAGGGTTTTACACATGCTAAGAAATTGCTCTGCTACTGAGCTGCATCCAAGCTTGAAGTTGTTAATATATACATGTGTGTGTATATGTATTTTGTTTTGGTTGAGGGAAGCATGTACTCTTGTGAGTTCCAGACCCCTACCTCGCTTTCCCTACTTCTGCAGTAAGGAAAGTGACTCATGTCCAGAGTGCTATACAGTTCAATGAAAAGTTGCCCGGCAAGGGCTGGCAAGATGGCCTAGCAGATAAAGGTGCTTACTGCCACACCTGACAACCCGAGTTCAATCCCCAGGACCCACATGGTGGAAGGAGAGAACCAACTTCTCTAGGTTGTTCTCTGACCTCCACACAAATGCCATGGTGCTTGTGCCCCCACCCCCCAATAACAACTAAATGTAAAGAAAATTTGTAGGAAAAAAATTAAGGTGTCCATCAAGTGCTTAGGCCAGCCCCATCCCACCTATTTGAAATCTGTTCTGGTTCCCTCCTGGAATTCCACTCCCCTCCCCTCACACCCTGGCCTCATCTCTGCCTCTCCTGCAGCCGCTCCAGCACCTATCCTTACCCTGAGACGCCACTCTACACGCAGCCAGCAGGAACCAGCTACTATGAGGCTTCAGGGGCAGCTGCCCAGGTCACCACACCAGCCACCTCCCAGACTGTGGCCAGCAGTGGCTCGGTGCCCATGTATGTGTCTGGCAGCCCGATTGTCGCCAGCTCCAGTATCAGTGGGGCTGGGGCCAGCAACAGCAGCACGGGTGCTGCGGCTGGCGGGGGAGGTGGCAATGGCAGTGGCGGCAGCAGTGGCAGTGGTGGCGGCAGCAGTGGAACAGGCACCTACGTGATCCAGGGCGGCTACATGCTGGGCAGTGCCAGCCAGTCTTACTCCCATACCACCCGTGCCTCGCCAGCCACGGTAAGTGTTCCAACCCTGCCCACAGGAGGCAGTGGTAAGCATTCAGGGGAGACCATGGCCACAGTCAGGATTCAGTGCTCACCAAGGCTAGGAGCCTTCTTATCCTGTGTGAAGTCCTGGGGACAGTAGCAAAAGTGTCATTAATTGGAACTGATGATGGCTAGCTAGCAAGTGGGAACAGATGTGCTCCACACATCCTCCTCATGTTGGTCTGCTGGAATCCAGCCGGATTCCAACCCCAACTAGACCCATTGCCAGCTTAGACTTTGGATTGGGTAAAGCAGTTGTTCCTGGGTGGGCCCCCCTGGTTGGTCCCCCCCTTTACACCAATGCAACTTTGCTTCTAATGTTTTCTGGTTTATTTACTTTGGTTTTGTTTGTTTTTGAGACAGGATCTCCCTGTAGCCCCTGCTGGTCTGGATCTCACTATGTAGACCAGGCTGGCCTCAATCTCAGAGATCTGCCTGCCTTTCCCACCTGAGTCCTGAGACTAAAGGCTTGTGCTACCACACCTGGCTTATTTAGTCTGTTTTATTTAAATACTGGTGTGAACCTCCTGATTTTACAACCCCCTGGGGTCCTCAGGTGCAGCTGCAAAAGGTGTGTGTCATGCCTGGCACAGTGAGTAGTCGCTGGTGAGGAGATAGCAGTCCAGAGCAGATGCCTCCAGCCCTAGGTTGCTGTTGAACCCAGGTGGTTGAGGTCACTGAAGAACTGTGTAGAATGTTTTGTCTTTTGCAGCTATTTATTTTGAAATAATTATATACTTACAGAACACTATAAAAATGGTAACAAGGGGAGGGAGAAGGAATAAACGGTAAGGAACTGGTCGTAGTGGTACATGCTTGTAATCCCAGCACTTCAGGAAGGCTGAGGTGGGAGGATAGCCACAAGTGTGAGGCCAGTCGTCACAGATAAATAGAATCAACTTCTCAGAAACAAACAAACTGGTGAGATAGCTCAGTAAGTAAAAGCACTTACCCTCAAGCTATGTTCAGTCTCTGGAACCCATGTAAAAGTGCAAAGAGAGAACTGACTCCACAGAGTTGTCTTGTGACCTCTACAAATGTGCAGTAGCATGGAGAGAGAGAGAGAGAGAGAGAGAGAGAGAGAGAGAGAGAGAGAATATGAATTAAACAAACAGGCTGGTGAGATGACTCTGGGTAAAGATGCTTGCAACCAGGCCTGATGATCTGAGTTTGATCCTTGGAATCCACATAGTAGAAGGAAAGAATCAACTCTTGACCTTCACACACACATACACACACACACACACACACACACACACACACACACACACACACACACACAGGGGCGGTGGAGGGGAGAGAGGGAGAGAGAGAGATAACAGAATGGAGCTAAGGAGATGGCTTAGTTGGTAAAGTACTTGTCACAACGTATGAGGATCTGAGTTTGAATTGGAACACGAAAATGAGTCTGTAATCGCACTGCTGGGAGGAACAGAGAAAGGTGAATGCCTGGGCTCACTAGCCATCCAGTCCATAAGCTCTAGGTTCAATGAGAGATGTTCTCTCAAAAATGAAGGTCGACAGCAAATGAAGATACCTCTGGTCTCTACACACATGCACATGTAGCTATTTTCATGAGCCTCCTCACATGAACACACAGACCCCACACCAAAACAAAAAGTAAGTTTAAGAAGTCGTGATAGATGCCTGTACACCCTTCAGCCAGGGTTCTCAGCTTAGCCACACATTGTCAAACAGACAGCATCAAATCCTGGAGATTTGTGTGGGACCAGAGGTGGTCTATTTATCACATGTAGATTTTGTTTTGTGTTTATGAGACAGGGCCCCACCTTTGTAGCTCCCCATTCATTCTGGCCTTGGACTCAGGACCCTCCTGCCTCAGCCTCCCCAGTGCTGGGAGTATAGGCATGTCTTACCATGCCACCATGCTTGCTGCATGTGTAGGTAAACATGGACACCACTGCCACAATCAAGATACAGGGGCTATGGGCGTGGCTCTGGCCTCCCTCTCAACATCTTGAGTCCCCAGCAACCAAGAATCTGCTTTTCATTTCTATGTCATGTCTGAAATGTTCTACAAATGGAATCCTATTATGTGTCCTTGGTAGACTGCCTTTCCTCAAAAACAATTTTGTATTTAAATAACTACAGGTGGCTAGTGGCAACTGTATTGGCCAGTGCTAGAAAGTTCCATAGGTCATAGGTCTCCAGACCACTGGTCAAGGCTGTGTGCCTTATGGCAGGGTAGGGTGGCTGTTGGTGCAAAGGATGCAGCCATGCACCTCAAGGGATGCTAGCAGCTTTCAGCACTGCTTTGTCTTCCCGTGGGCTGCAGGTCCAGTGGCTCCTGGACAATTACGAGACAGCTGAGGGTGTGAGCCTGCCGAGGAGCACCCTCTACTGCCACTACCTGCTGCATTGCCAGGAGCAGAAGCTGGAACCAGTCAACGCTGCCTCCTTCGGCAAGCTCATCCGCTCGGTCTTCATGGGTCTTCGGACACGCCGCCTGGGCACCAGGTTCACCCCGCCCTTTTCCCAGTAGCCCCTGAGCTCAGAAGGCACACCCTGCCCATGGGACCCACCCCCAATTTTCCCTCTTGCCTCTACTCACTCTGCTCAGCCCTTCTGCGTATGCCTGCTGTAGTGCCTTTGCACAGGGCCTGTGCCATCTGATTCATGTACTTCACCCCATCTCCTTAGTCAGATAGCCCTTGGCCCCTGTTCATCTCTCTTCCAGGAAGTAGCCTAGGGATCAGTGCATTCATTCATTCATTCATTTGTTCATTCATGCTCACCCTCATGTGAAGTACTGATCTTCATAACTCAGCTTCCTCATGTCTGTCTAGGCTGTCAGTAGCATTCTTCAAAGTGAAGGGATAAGGTAGGACAGAGTTAGCATACCACCTCACATGCCCTTCTGACCAGCAGTCAAATATCTACCACATGCTTGCCAGCTGCCAGAGTTGGTGGCGAGTAGTGACTCATGCTGTCATGTCCTCATAGATTCTGTCAGTGAGCAGGGGTTCCTGGCACCCCTTACCCTGTGCTTTCCCAGCTCATCAGAGCAGCTTTCTGTCCATCTACCTAAACGAGGAAGATTGTATGAGGCTTCCCAAGTCTTGCCCAACTGATAGACCCAAATCGTAGCTCTTACCGCACCTTCTTCCTAGGGGCAACTCCAAGTACCACTACTATGGCCTGCGCATCAAGGCCAGCTCGCCCTTGCTGCGGCTGATGGAGGACCAGCAGCACATGGCCATGCGAGGCCAGCCCTTTTCTCAAAAGCAGAGGTAGGCTGCCTGCTCTGGGGCTGTATAAGGTTACAAAGTTGGCTGTTCCCCACTGGGTGACCTGTTACCCACCATCTGACCATCCCGCATTACTCTTTACCAACTGCCCATCCCCTGCACACCAGAGCCCATCACCCCAGGTTTCTGGTCTCCCTATACCACTGGCTTGCCCCACACCACGTGACTTGTGTCTTTCCTGTCTCTGTCCACCCCACCTCCTGGGCTGGTCCATCCTATCAGCCACTACACTACCCCTTCTTCTCCAGGCTTAAGCCCATCCAGAAGATGGAGGGTGTGGCCAATGGTGTGGCTGTGGGGCAACAGAGCTCCGGGCTGGCAGACATCAGCGCCCAGGTGCAGCAGTACCAGCAATTCCTGGGTGAGTGTCACTTGGCAGAGCAGTGCCACTGGGCAGTGGCATGGCCTGCTCCTGCAGGACTCAAGAGGGCCCAGTGGGGAGTTTGGGGGAAACACCATCATCTCTGTGGGTGGCACATTCAGCCTTACCTGCCTGTCTCTGCAGGGTAGTTCTGTCCCCAGAAACATCCCCACCCCACCCTGCCCTTTTTATTTATTTATTTATTTATTTATTTATTTATTTATTTATTTATTTATTTATTTTGGTTTTTGGAGACAGGGTCTCCCTGTAGCCCCAACTGGCCTGGAACTCACTATGTAGATCAGACTATCCTCGATCTACAGATAACCTCTTGCATCTGCCTCCTGAGTGCTGGGATTAAAACGCATGTATCACCATGCCCAGCTCCCTCCCTCTTCCCTTTTTTAAACATAGGGTCTCACTATGTGGCCCTGGCTTTCCTGGAACTCACAGAAATCCTCCTACCTCAGCCTCCCCAGTGCTGGGATCTCAAGTGTGCACCATCTCATTCCTTTCAGCAAAGAATGTTTCTCTGTGAGCCTCCAGTGAATTCAGCCCAATGATGCTGCAGAGGACCCCAAATCCTGCACAGGCAGTGACTTGGATAGTCAGACTGACATAATGGGCAGGTTCCACCCTCACTATACTGTGACTGTAGGGCCTGCATGACTAAGATTGAGAGGGCAAGTGTTTATACTGGGGTGTATGCCTACAGTCTGCGTACACCAAAGACAAGAAAAAGCAAGAAAGTGCAGGGAGACAAGGCATGATGATGCTGCCAACGATCGAGAACAACCACATGTCCATGGCAGTAATCATACTTGGCTTCTTTCATAGGCCCACCTGCTCATGAGCTTTGCTACCTAGTGTGCCTGAGAGGTGGGAGATAAGTGGCCCTGGTGACCCATGTTATTCTAGGCAGCATCCCTAGAATGGGCCCCTAGGCTCCTGTTCTCTGGTCCACTGGGTGTAGAGAGAGGCTGCTGCCTGTACCAAGCGTTGTCCTCTAACGCCAGGGAAGGCCAGCACTTTGCAGCAGGCCAAGGCACAGGCACAAGCCCCAATTATGCTCTGTGCAAAGGGCCATGGGACCCTGGACTGTGAGCTCACCCTGCCTAGCCTCATTGTCTACCCCATACATGAGGACCATTATGTGGTGGGAAGATGGTGACTAGGACCCAAGGGACAACGGGATACAGGCAAGTGGACACAGGGCTTCATGTGCCCTGTCTGCCCTTAGATGCCTCCCGGAGCCTCCCTGACTTCACTGAGTTGGACCTCCAGGGCAAAGTCCTGCCTGAGGGCGTCGGCCCTGGGGACATCAAGGCCTTCCAGGTCCTATACCGAGAGCACTGTGAGGTAGGGCAACCAGATGGCCAAGGGAGAGGGTGGATGGGCAGCCTTGGGCAACTGGGCTTCTGTCTTAGGCAGGAAGCCCCACCTGGCTCTGCCCCACATCATGCAGCCCTACCCCTGCAGGCCATCGTGGATGTCATGGTGAACCTCCAGTTCACATTGGTGGAGACACTGTGGAAGACCTTCTGGAGGTATAACCTCAGCCAACCCAGTGAGGCACCACCACTGGCCGTGTGAGTCCCATGGGTGCGGAAAGGGTGACCCCTACCATAGGGGCCACACATGCCCTTTGCCCCCAGAGTGGGAGACCAACCCAACCCAGGGTTGGCAGGAGGCAGGAGCACCCCATGACCAGGTTGGGCGGGTGCCCACAGGCACGACGAGGCAGAGAAGCGGCTACCCAGGGCCAGCCTGGTGCTCCTATCCAAGTTCCAGCCCGTGCTACAGTGGACCAAGCACTGTGACAACGTGCTATACCAGGGCCTGGTGGAGATCCTCATCCCAGATGTGCTACGACCCATCCCCAGTGAGTGCCCGAGGCCTCACCCCTCCCCAGAAGCCACTCCTGCCTACCCTGACCAGCGTCCCCACCCCCCCATAGGTGCCTTGACCCAAGCAATCCGGAACTTTGCCAAGAGCCTAGAGAGCTGGCTCACCCATGCCATGGTGAACATCCCAGAAGAGATGCTGCGGGTGAAGGTAAGGTTAGACTAAGCCTGGCTGCAACAGGGTGGCAGGTTTTCACATTCACTGTGGGGATTGTGTCCCCTCATGAGCCTTAGTATGTACTTAGGTGTTGCCTTACACATCACTTCTTTCAGGGCCTACTTCTGAAAAGCTCCCAGGGTTCTGGTACTTAAGATAGTATCTTAAAACAACTTGGGCTGTGGTGGGCCACACCTTTATTTCCACTAGAAGTTCAAGGCTAGCTTTGACTGCATATGCATATCTCTGAGTCCATGCAGCCAGCCTGAGCTAGAGACCCTGTCTCAAAAAAAAAAAACAAAAAACAAAAACCACACACATAAATGTGAGCTGTGTTACCTTGAAATATAGTCAGAAGTAATTTAGATGGTCAGAGAGAGCTTTTAATGTATAAGGAAACAAATAGCCCTTCAGTGATATACATTCACTGAGATGCACAGAATCAGATGGGGTGTCCTTGTTCTTGGGCAAACAAAAACTAGCTAACAAAACAACTAAACAGAACTGGTGTCTGTCTCCTTTTTGTTTTTTTTTTGAGACAGGGTCTCCCTGTAGCCCCAGCTGACCTGGAACTCACTATGTAGACCAGGCTGGCCTTGAACTCACAGAGATCCACCTGCCTCTGCCTCCTGAGTGCTGGGATTAAAGGTGTGCACCACCATGCCCAGCTTGCTTCCTTATATTTTATCACAGTGCTGGGGATGAAACCAGGGCCTCATGTATGGTAGATAGGTAAGCACTCTGTGACTGAGCTGTATTCCCAGCCCCAGCTGGGTGTCTTGAGTCAGCCATGGATTAGATAGAGTGGAGCTGAGGAGAGCCTGGGGAGATAGAATCAGACGTAGGGGGAGAGCCTTCAAACTGGCAAGGCTCACAGTGGTTCATGCTGTATTTGTTTTTTTTTTGTTTTTTGTTTTTTTTTTTTGGTTGTTTTGAGACAGGGTCTCCCTGTAGTCCCAGCTGGCCTGGAACTCACTATGTAGGCCAGGCTGACCTTGGACTTAGAAATCCACCTGCCTCTGCCTCTGCCTTTAGTTCTGGGACTAAAGGCATGCGCCACCACTCCCAGTGCTATGTGTATTTGTTGAACACTGACTATGCTTAGCATAGTGCTGGAAACCCAGCAGTGAACAAGATGCAGGAAGCCTTCTTGGACATTCAAGGGCACAGTGACTGAAACAAAGTTTGCCAGTCTGGGGATGAAGCTCAGTGGTGGAGCCTTTGCCAAGCCTGTGCAGGGCCCTGTATTCCATCCCCAACACTGCAGGGAGATGAGGAGGAGCTTTTCTGTTGTGTTCTTTCATTGAAAATAGTGTAGGAGTAACTACTTGGGCATGATGATAATCCCACTAACAATTGCAAGAGTCTGAAGCTAGCCTGGGTTACATGCCAAGACCTTACCTCAAAGGAAAAAGAGAACAGTAATGTTAGTCTGGTGGTATACCATGTGGAGAGAACTTGTTTAGCATGGACATGGCCCTGAGTTTGATCACTGCCATCACCACACACCAAAAATAGTGCCAGTCAGGGATTGGGGGATGGTTCAGTTAGTAAAGGCACTTGCTGCCAAGCCTGACACCTGAGTTTGGTCCTTGGGACCTCTGGCCTCCACACCCATGCCATTCATCACAAGAACACACACAAGACAAATAAATGTCATATAAATGGTGCCAATCAGAATACAGCAAATTGATTTTTACTCATACCAGTATGTCCTGGAGCCAACCCCTGGGTCTCCCAACAGAAACAGTAAAGCACACCTTCCGGTTTTTAAGAAAAGGGCTCCAGTGGCAGCAGGTGAGGCTGGGCCTGGCAGAGGGTGGTTTCTACAGGTGCCATTAATTAGCCCACTGTCTGCCACACAGGTGGCAGCAGCTGGCGCTTTCGCGCAGACGCTGCGGCGCTACACGTCGCTCAACCACTTGGCACAGGCGGCGCGGGCTGTGCTGCAGAACACAGCACAGATCAATCAGATGCTGAGCGACCTCAACCGAGTCGATTTCGCCAACGTGCAGGTGAGCATGGGGTGGGGTGGGGTGGGGATGGTG